AAAAAAAAAAAAAAAACACCAAAATAAAAGTGTTGGCATGACGGATGTTGGACTGTCATATGCTGGTTAACTGATAAAAGGAGGGTGTGGACGGCTGGCTTTGACCGGACCTCGGTGGGAAGTGCAGAGCGACGTTAGCTTCCATCACTGCAGGGTGCTGAACTTAATGTGCCTGTTATGCTCCATCTGTGTCACAGTGTTGGAAATCCACTTAACTTCAAGCTACATACTGTACGATGACAGATCAGCCTGTGGATTTTTTTTTCAGGTTATCATCAAACTCATAAGCTTTGCTTTACAGTTTGTTCTTAGGGGGAAGTACTTCCAAACTGCACTAACTTTTACCAGGCTAGAGAAGATTTTGCAGCCCTGCAGACACGTATAAAACCTCAACATGCTTATTCCCAATCACGACACTTAGATGACTAACAACCTTTTCCTGGTGCATCATCGTGAATGCCAACCTTTAGTAATAGCAGAGAAATGAGCTTCTTATGTACATTTCCATATGAAGAACTATAGAAAACTGATGTTTCACACCGACCACAGGGAATGCGCCTTCCAAATGCCACAACTCCAGCAAATTCTTGGGTTTTTTTAATGGATTTACAACAATAAGGAACACTAAAAAATGTCAAGATTCAAGATCTGCTCCTTCCTGTTGCTTTAAAGCATCTCAAGTACAAACAGCGACTACAGAGGAGCAGACTTAAGTGGTGTTTCCCCGTAAACAAATGAGTGGACAAGTGGGAAAAGATGCAAGCATTCCCAGACAAACCACATATTTTTAGACAGGCAACACACTAAACCAAAGCAATGTTTAATGAACTGCTGGTCAGAGTAACAATCTGAACTTATCACTGGTCTGTGTGTAGCCTAGAAAATAAAAATTAAGCAACTGCATTAATACTGTGCACAATTCAAAAGCACTGAAAGACGAGTCCTTCTAAAATTAAGTGCAGGAGTAGTCTCAGATTTCAGCGGCAGGTTTACCCATAAACTTCAGCGAAAATCATACATAAAGTGATGCAAGCTCACTGTTCCCATGACTCTGACACACCCATCATTTCCTCTGTGATGCTACGTGTCAATATTAACTACACTAACACAGAACTTCTCCATCTCATTTGCTCCAACCACCACAACCAAAGCCCTGCATGGCCCAGATGTATCTAAAGAGAGTAATTAAATCCCTATGACTGACCGTTAAATGTGCAGTGCACACACATTGGCCTGAGCAGTGGCAACTTTAAAGGGAAAGTCCATCAAATCAAGAGTTTATCACCTTAGATGATGAGATATTTTGTGTGCAATGTTAACATGTCAGGCTAGTTTGGGCGGAGTGGTCATGCAGTTTCAAATAGAGGCAGAGTTCACCCTGAAATTTTAGAATAATCTCCTTGGTGGGTTTCCTGAGTACAGCTGGAAATGTTAGCCCGCTGGTGGCGCAACAGGCCAGAGGTCCACCGAAGCCAAAAGCATTTAAATGTCAAACACCTTTTGCAAATATTCTTTAGGTTGAGGAGGAAATCAAACCCAACACATAGAGATTCACCCCTGAGGACCATGAATATTTGTTCCAAAGCTAATGGCAATTTGACCAGTACTTGTGAAGCTTTCTGCTGATGCTCCAAGTTTCACTCAGAGTTGTCAATAATAATTCTTCTTGAAACAGGCCCCAGAGCCAGACACCTGGACAGACCTGGACAGAGCTGGACAGAGCTGGACAGAGCCGCACACGCCCTCACCCCACAGGCCCTGTTACTCAGCAAGAACACAGACCTGGCTAACATTACACCCTGTACAATATATCCCATTATACGCTTTAGAAATGCTTACATTCTTTGCTTATTACATCTTAAACACGCTTCGTGTACTTCTAGTTCAAACTTCCTGCGTTTCCCACAGTGACTTGACAGATGACTCATCACCGTTAGGCCTTTTTTTAAAGGTGCATGTATGAACTTAGCACAGGCCTGAGTGATACGAGTCACAATAATTACAGCAAATTACTGCAGTGCTGAGCAGGGGCTTCACCAAGAAGCTCTTCCTGTTTCATTCTGAAAGACCGACCTCTCAGATGGACGACAGCTTTCTTTGGCACCGCGTTAACACGATACCTGTGTTTCCCCTCACATGATGAGAAACACACGTTACAGAAAATGTACAGGGTTGTCATTTAAAAGAAACAGACAGGGCTGGATGATTTACATTTTATATCACAGTAAACTAAAAAAAACATTTACCTCAACAACAAATTTTACTTATTTTAAGTCGTATGATTGCTCTGACTTCTGATTGGACTGGATTTTCAGCTCATTTGATTGGCTGAATCACCACTGTTGTAGCTATTCCACTGTGAATGAGAGATTAATACATCTTTTATGGGAAAATTGTTATTTCAGTCAAGTTACCAAGCATCTCATCATGTCTGCAGGCCAATAGATTTGTGTCCAAACCTACAGTGTAACCTGTAAATGTGGAGGCTAACGCTGTCGGATGCCTTCATCCTGTTGTTCCACGCTTCCTTCCCTCCATGGTATCACTGACCCTTCTTCTTTGAAATGAAGCTGCCTGTCCTGCTGCCTGTCTGTCAGCCTGTTCAGGGAGACTATGACAGAACACTTGATCTACAAAGGTGTGGTCCAGCCGCGAGATGGATAGGGTTTCCCATTCATCACACAATCCTATGTCCTACTTACAGGACTCTTCTCATCAGCGCCAGTCAGTGGTGTTACTAGTAAGAAAGTAGAGCTGAGCACAAGTGAGAGCTGCAGCCATTTGTGTAAGACCATAACCTGTCATTGCTTATGCTTTGTGAGCTGCTTCTTCAGTACAAAGGTTTATGCCTTTTCTTCTTACTCTGCTATTGTTCCTGGTCAGCCATTGTTTCCTGAACAGTAGTGTGGTTCTTTGGGTTATTTCAGGATCTTTTTTCCACCTAATTTCTCACCACTGCTTCAAAATGAAATCCTGATCTCTAAAAAAAAAAAAAGAACAAAAGAACCTGACCCTTGTTCACTTGACTCTGGGCTGAATTTAACAGAGAAGCCAACAACAGACCAGTCCTGTAATTAGTGCTTTTGTCGGCTCTGACTTTAAACAGTGATGATGTTGGGCTTGTGTCCCGGTCAGACAGTTTTAAAGCTTCAGCCAAAGGGAGCCTGCATTTTCCCAAAGGCAAAAAGAAATCAAGTTGTCATCAAACACTTGGAGCTGCTGCCTCAGCGCCAACAGCTGTCAGGGTGGAAAAGTAAACCGGGCCATCTCCGAAATGACCAACTCCATTTGACGGCCACTTGAGGCCAGATATGCCAACTGTGAAAATAAGCACACACACACACACACACACACACACACACACACACACACAGGCTGCAGCAGGGGAAGCAGCTCATCAGTGTACTGGGGCCACACACACGCACAGGGCCAGCAACCACCCACCTCCGCCTGCAACGACACCAGTAAGACCAGCAAGAAACAAGACAACTGCTGCTGTCAGGCTTGGTGCACACGTGCCCAGCAAACTGGAGCAGGTGTGTGTACAAGTCTAACAGAGTGTGGTTGAAACAACAGGCCTGTCCTCTGCTCAGTGTTGTGGTTCAAAAAGACCCCTCATTTAATCCGTCCTCATATCCCACTAAAGTATTGCAGAGACAGGAAGCAGCCCAGGGAGCCGAGCTCAGACTGATGTGTTCAGATACAAGACTCATCTGACCGGTCGCAAATCCACTGTCAGGAACAGCAGATATGGTTTTTGTTAATGATTCACCTGATTGTTTTTTTTTTTTTAATTAATTGTCTGATATATGAAATGTCAGAAAGTGGTGAAACATGTACATCTCAAACTCCCAGAATCTGTTTGGCTTGTCAGCTCAAAACCCCAAAACACTGGATTTACTATTAGAAATGATCGAGACAGCCATCAAATACTCACACTAGAGAAGCTGGAACCAGTGAATGTTTTGGTATTTCTCCTATGAAATAGTGATGACGCTCAACTGTATGTACAGCCAGTGTGAAAGGGTCAGGGGTCAACTCCCTCAAATCAACAACAAACTATGCTCCTACTCGCCCCCTCCAGTGTTATTGAGCAATGGAGTTAGTTTCAGTTATATATACCCAGGTTTTAAGATGCAGTGCAGGTGAATTAAAATTTATTTGTGGTGTTGTGGTATTTAAATGTGACATTTAAAAAGACAAACATACCTTTTAAACAACAGTGTCCCAGTGATTCTCAATAAAACGGGTTGGTTGTTTGATTATATGCTTTGAAATTTTATTTTCCCAGTAAACCAAAGCAAAAAGCACACTGGGGATATAAGATGGCAACTTATGAGTATGATTGAAACTACTATGAAAAGCTGAACAGTTAGTTTAAGCCCTGCCATTACACTGTAGTCTCCAAATTCACAATGAAAGGCCTACAGGACCTCCGGACGCACGAGTGTCAACAACACCTTGCCCTCCACAGCCTGTTTCCTAATCTGCTTTACTATCATTGTGGTATCACTGGGAAGTTTTGGCGACAAGCTTTGTCCTGTTTTTATCATTCTAAAACGTTTAACACGGTACTTTACGTCATACTAATGTGTATTGCCCATATTATATAGTTTTTCACCGAGAGTAAGCACATGACTCCTATGTCCACTATAAAATGAGGAGCCTATACTCACAGCAGGCTTATGCAGTCCTCAGGGAAGCAGAGACAACCAGGGCCTGGAAATGCTGCTGCAACATCTTAGTCTGTTTGAACGAACAGCGCAACGACGGGAAAAGCTCTTTGGATACATGTAACCACTGCGCTGCTGGCTGTGGTTACATCTGAGGAGTCGAGCTGCATCAATAATTCAGCAATATTCCACAAGCACAAAAGGCTAATTTACTGCCAGGAACCAGGAGCATTTAGGGGAAATACAAAGAGTTTTGCGAACTAATAAATAAAAAAAGAGGCTATGGTAGAAAGGCAGGACAATGGGGAGACTCCCAGGCCCCATTGGCCGCGTCCTGAAGCCAATTTATCCAAAACGTTCGTTCCCTTTCTTCCCCGTTTCTTTCCCCAAACGGGTCGCCCTCACAGTAAATGAATGGACGCACTCAAATTCCCACCAGCCCTTAGGTGAAGGAGAAATTTCAAATCCTTTGGCCTACAACTAAACTGGACGCGCGTATTCCTTCCAGGCGCATCACTCTCCGAATCCTTTTAGCCTTCAGTAACATTTACAAAGACAACAGTCTTCTCCTGCGGTTAAAGTCGGACCACGGAGCTACGTGGCCTCGGTGAGAACGACAATGGGGCCGATGAGGGTCTTAAACTTCCCCGTGGATTCAAAAAAAGCGACCGTCGCGTCCTCCCGACTATTGTTTGGGAAAACCGGAGATTTCCGGCGCCCCAAATCTTCCCTTCTCTCTCCGCAGGGCCCATGCACCCGTATCCAGCCCCATCACTAACATTTTAGAGCATTTTCCACACACAAAAAATACTACTTACTCATGCCAGGGAGTCCATTCAGGTATTTTTCACTTTCTACTTTCTTTCCACTCAGCCGTAACACCGTGCGCCCCGCCTCCGCTCCAGTTTGGCTCCTCCTCTGTTGTCCCCCCGGGGGACTGGCCCTGTTTAGTCACAACCCTCCCGTGTCCACTGTGATTTCTCTCTGTGTCTCTGCAAAGGACTGGACAGACTAATGTCACAAGGTAAGTGGATTCCCTGGCTCATAAAACCGAGGAGCAGTCAGTGGAGCCGCTTGGATGAAATCCTCCATAGCGTCACATCTGGCCGCTGTGTCCAGACCAGGTCTCCATACGGAGTTTTTATAAGGAAGCACCAGTTTCCAAACCAAATAATCACCGATTTAAACTTTTTAATGTGATTCTCTTAAATTTGTTGGTCTCAGTTATCATCAAGGAACATATTGTAAATAAGTGCCAAGAGGAAAAAAAAACAAATGCCTACAAAGCAACACCTTTATGTTCATAAATGAATAAACATGAGATGAAGCTGTGACCCCTTTTTTGTTTGCTCAAATCTGACTGATTTGCTTTTGGATAGTTTAAATGTTGGTAATCATTAGTTTGTTGTGATTTCTATTTATTTATTTAGGTTGAATCTGTTCAAATTGTTTGATTGAGATGGGTATTTAATAATAAAGTCGACAGAGAAAATATAAACCACTCCTTTTCAAACAAGGATTGTCTAAATTGTCTTAAGTTTAAAAAATGAGTTTTTATGAAGTACCGCTGTCCCAGTTCATAAGCGTTTCATTCATAACAATAGCATTTCGCACACTGGCCTCCGTTTTTGAATTCCACTCAAACAGCTACAAAAGACGCCCTGGAAAAGAAGCCACGTTTATTTCTCCGTCAAGGCATCACAATTTCTCACTGGTTTCAGCCATTAAATAAACACCTATCGACAAAATTAAAATCTCTTTTCAGAATTTTTCACCAAACAAAATGAAGGTGAAAAAGGTATGAACCAAAAAGAGCGCAGAGCCAGAGGCCGAGCACATTTTCAGTCTAAACATTAGATTCTGACTGGATTTAAAGAATTTGGCAGCTGATTGATCATTAATATCAGCCGTGCAGGACTTTTAAAAGTTCAGGAAATTATTTTTCTCCACGCAAAGATCACAATGTGTGAAATCAACAACTAGACACAAGTGTGACTATGTTTGAGCTGCAAGGGAATATAAATATTCTTGAATAGTTTTTAAAATTTCTCTGGGTTCTCATCAACTTCCCAGGACCACGAACTTCTGAAAATACTTCATCACACATTTCCAACTTTTGCAAAACCTTGAATTTAAATTTTGTACTTGTTCACTGACAAAGTGGTTTCTTAACGCTAGCACTGATAACTACATGACAGAGAAGACAGCTACAATATTGCACATACCATTGCAACCCTCACTCACACATTCATTCGTAAACACTGAATGGGGCAGTTGACTGTACACAGTCACATTTACATATGCACCATCACACACACACACACACACGCACACACGCACACACGCACACACACAAATGCTCAATGTTTAGTGCCTATCACGACACAGTAAACAAAACATTCTTTGACAATAAAGAGGGAAAAGACCCTAAAACAAAAGAAATATAAACATCTTTTCCACCGGCAGGGCCCGCTGGCACTGAACCAGAATTTTCTGACCCTGATGAGTCCAGATCCATCCAGGCCAGTCCAGTCCTCACGTCACAGCTCACCTGAGTGAGTCCATAAACGTGGAGTCGTCATCTCAGAAACCGCTGCTAGCCTGTCTGTGTACCTATTCATGGAAGAAAAGAAAAGCCCTGTTCATGTCTGGTTGGGATACAAGTAGTAGTTGTCGTAGTAGTAGTAGTAGCAGTAGTAGTGGTCGTGGGCCTGCGCTGCCCCAATGCGGATCAGTAGGTGGCGTTGGTGGGCTCCCTCCCTGAGCTGAAGAGGATGTCGGCCTTCAAGCTGATGATGTACGTCAACAGGAGGGACATCAGCAGAATGCTGACCCCCACACCCAGCGTAAACATCTGGAGGAGGGAGAAGGTTATCAGTTATTGCTCTGACCAGTGAAGATCTGTCCCTAAGACGTGGTCATGAACCTGTGGACACATTTTTGCCTTTTCTTTGAGAGGTCATCCATCATCACTGTCAACTTGTTCCAGCATTCACGAGCAAAACTAGGACAAATCAAACTGATGCTGCTGTGACACAAGTGTTTTGTTTTTTATATTCTCTGACTGACACAGGCACAAATGAATTTCCAAAAGTAGAGTAAACAAATGAACTAAACTAACCCAACATGGAAACTGGCAAAAGTAACGCAAGCTACTGACATTTTCCAGTTTGTTTAGCAGACAAATGAGGCCTCACAGCCTTCAGAGTGATAAATCTGTGTTCTGTCTTTGACCCTGAGGAGAGAAGGCAGATGTACCTCCAGTTCATGACTGGCCACCAGGAATATGCGTCCTTTGATGGTCTTCCACCTGGACTCTGTCCATGTAGAGTAATCTTGGGAGGTGTACTGCTGCAGGTCAAAGGCTGGGGACAGCGCTTTGGAGAGACGGACAGTGGAGCGGACGCAGAAACCCTCCCTCGTTGTATTATTGGGAGGCGCCACACCCTGAACCCACAGATAGGAGTACATCTGAGGAGGGAGGCAAGAAGGGCCACAGGGTGATGGAGGGGGGAGATAAATATGTCATTATTTCTTTTTAAAATGAGTGGGACGTGTGCCACAGATGTGACAATGTTGCAGGTCCTACTTAATACTACCAGTTGGCAACAGAAGTCATGGTGTCATTTTATTCTGTATTTATCCAAATGTGTTGGTGTCACATTGGCTTTGAAATTAATTTGACAACTGATGTCTTTACATGTTTGTTCTCTTTGTCGTCCTTATCCTCTCTCTGGTTCTGGCAGTCGTCCTGGGTGATGTTGATGGCGCTGCCCGTCAGGTTGGCCAGCAGGTGCTGGACTAGAAGAGTTGGTACGCTGGACTGCTGTGTCACACCCACATAGAGGTTTGGGGGCCTGTCATCTGATAAAGAAATTACATTTTGTGCCTGAAAATGTACCAGTGTTTGCTCTGCTCTGTCCCCATGGTGATAATGACAAAAGAGTGGCTGACGGCCCATAGAGGCGTTTCCCCAAAATAAAACCAGATCATCAGTGTCTGTAACTGTTTATCAATATCAATTATTTGCCACTATTGTCATATAAATCCAGTTTACAGAAAGTCTTAGCTTGTATCCCAACTTACTCAGGTGACCCATGAGCTCCGATGAGACGAGCTGCTGGAACCAGGAGTTATTGGACTTAACAAGGAACCCGTACAGCATTTGGGTCACCTGAGAGAGACGACACAAACATTGATGTCTGTCACTTCGGCTCAGTTCAGCAAGATAAAAATAAATAAATAAATCACCAAGACACATTAGTCACAGAAAAGAAACAGTAAAGTCTTTGTCTTTGAAATAATGATTCTTCTAAAAGCATATTTCAAATTATTGAAGCAGAAATAAAAAAAAAGCAGGTAAAGACGAGGAAAAAATAAATAAACAAGCACAACACACAAAAAATGATCAGACTCAGGAAAACATGTAAGCCAAAAGAGAAAGTAAGACCAATGTCAGTCTGTATCACCGACTTGTTTCTAGACATTCAAAGGCTTTTCTACTCTTGTAAATTTGCCCTCACAGCAGAGTAGAAACTACAAACAGAGATAAGGTACAGAAACACTCTTCAGACTAAGAACAACTGTGATATTTCTGATAAGAAAGTAGAGGTGAGAACGGGTAAATATACTGCAGGAGCAGTGAGCTCGTGGATAAAACAGCTGGAAAGCTTGAAACACGTTTACTGAATTTACAGTCTTACTATTAGAGCATCTGCCTTAATGCTGCTCAGCTGGCTTTCTGCTCCTCCGGCCTGTTTGTAGAGAGCCTGCGCCACCATGGTCGCCACATCGGTCAGAGCCTGAAAGATGCATGAACAGCATGAACTGAGCTGTCAACAGAGTAGCCTCTTAAAGACACGTTAAAAATCACAAGACAGGTTATTACTTAAAGATTTTCATTGGAACAATCAGTCAGCAAACAGTGAGGAGGCGCTTAGGTGATGACATGATTAACTGTCACTCAAAGCTCCACATATTGGAAACAGATGTAGCTTTTTTTACTCGTGTTCACCTAAAATCGCTACTTGAAGTTACCCCTGTCCAGAGCCAAACCACAGTGAATGAAACACATGTCGTGGCCTGGCTTTGCAAATACCTTGGCAGTGTCAGTGACAGTTTCTAGCTGCTTCTCTGGCGTCAGGTCTGGTGAGTACGAGATGTTCAGGTACTCTGCGTTATCATACATGCTCTCATAGAAGCTGCACACAGAACAGAAAAATAGATTAACACACACAGGATTCCACCATGATGGACTGTTATGGCGTGTAGCTCTGAATCACCTATTGGTGAACTGAGACTGATGATCCTCGATAACAACACCGGGGATTGGCCGAGCTCGCAGGAAACGCTGGAAAGACGAGGGCGGGAGTGGCTGAGAAACTCTGGGCTCGTCCACTGAGACATTTAAATCTGCGGCAGCCGAGCGCAAGTTGCTGATAAGATCCTTAACCTGAAACAAAGCATTGAAAAACTCGATGCCATACATACACTAACACACACACACACAAAGTTTGATTTTGATCACCGTTCTGCTTTTAAAGTTTCTCTCATATATCCACTCTACATCTAGACAGTCCTGTTCTCCCCAGCAGTGGCCGATGTCCTTCTGTGGTGTTTGAACAGTGCTGAATGAGAAGAAGGGAATCTCTTTTAAATACACACTGATACGAACCGTGTCATTGACGCTGCTGTTCCTCCGAGACACGGGATCAGAGTGAAGCCACAGCCCGGAGCCAGCAGCAAATCCCACCTGTAGTGAGAACATCCAACAAACTGAAACACTATATATACACACACATAATGGACAGCTTATAATATTACAGTAAAAAAATATCTTTGACCAATCAGAGAACTTGTCCACAACATACAGATTTAAGTAGTAGTAATAGCAAAACAACAACGTATTAATTTCATTCATTAAATTGTTTTGGCCTGATTCATTCATTAACAGTATTGTTTATATGTTCTTTGTTCAGAGTTTGTTCAGAAGAATAATAAACACACCTGCCCGATTTCTAGTACTGAGTGAACATTGTCCAGATCCACTGGAAACTGTTTGTTCTCCATGTCATACACCATCCTCGAGCTGCCGATGTAGTCAAAGGTTTCCTGGGGTCAAACAGTCAAACAAAATGTACAACGGACATGAATAATGCTGACGTGTACTCCAAACAAAATCAAATTTAGCATGTTGACCAAGCATCACGGTGTATACAATGGTGTGTAAACAACTAACCCCTTGGAAGAATGTGTAGAGGATGGTGCGGTTAGGCGGGGCCTCCTGGGTGGCGTTATGCAGAGCGTGAACAGCCGCCAGCAAGGTGACAAACCCAGAGACTGCACTTTCTGCTCCTGGAGCAATGTCAAAGAAAAAGGACCTGCTGTCCAGCTGCAGGAGAGCGAGGAAAGGAGGGGCATCAAGCAGAGATCATATCTAGGGAAGCTATAGCAGGTCGTCTCCTAACCGGAAGGTTGGTGGATTGATTCTAGGCTTCTCCAGCCTACATGTCGAAGTGTCCTTGAGCAAGACACTGAACCCCAAGTCGCTCCCGGTGATGTCACCGGTGCGTGAATGTGTGTATGTTTGGGGGTGCGAATGGGTGAATGGGCAAACTGTGAAAGTGTTTGGAGTGTGTTGCAATGTACAGAAAGGTGCTATACAACTATAAGACCATTTACCATCCAGGTAAGTAGCTCAGCTCCGTCTGCAATGACCTATTTCCACCCTTCCATTAGTAAGTCTGTGGCACAAAATGTGGCTACAAGCTCCACAAATGTCTAATTGTATTGTTTTACCTACAGCATAACAAGCTAAATGTATTTCTGTGTCATTCACTGATTGCAAATAATCAGTCATTATCAAGGAAACTGAATATTTTCTCAATCATCTAGTTAATAAACATTAGAAAACAGTGAAAAAATGCAACATCACATGGCACGCATTACAAAGCAGGACTTAGCTTGGATTTGACTTTTATAGTGGAAAGCATTCAAAGTGAGTGAGATCACTGCAGAAACTGGACAGAAAAATTTCACTGCTTTTCACAAACTCGCTCAGGCACCAGCACGCTAATGAGTACCACATGTCGTACTGTAGTGAAATAATGCTACAAGCTTATATCACTTCTTTTAAACCCATCTGATCTTTTTTTAAAATCACATTTCTCCCAGCCAGTTTGATCGCGTTCATTTTGAAAGCTTTTCAGTATAAAAGCCCTGCTTTGTAACATCATGTGATGTTTCATTTTTCACACAGCTCACCCTGGCTGCTGCGATGACCACACTCTCCCCCATCTTGTGGCCCTTGGCTGTGTTGTTGAGAGGTTTGGATGAGGCCCAAACATTAAAGTCACCCAGTGGGTCGCACACCACCTCTAAAGAGTGATGCAGAACAAGAACCAATATAAACCTTGGTTAGAGCTGGTGAAACAAAACTATTATCAGGCTATTTTCTTGTATTTAATAGATTGTCTTCCTGAAAAAGTTGTGTAGCCTATATTAAAAATAAGTACATTGAAACCATCATATCTATTGCAACTCACATCACATCTTAAAGAAATAGTGAAGTTTACAAGTTGGTTAGTAGTTTCATGCTGAGCTGCGTCAAGAGGGATGCCTTCTAGTAGTCCTAAGTTTGTTGTTGGTAGTGTGTACTACTCAGGTTATGCCCAAAGTTAACGTGGAAACAAGCTTGTAACTTGCAGATTTCACAACTGGAGTATTTTGCAGTTTGTAATTTTGGGACACCAGTAAAACCTGCTCCCGTGTTTGGATTATATTTATGGGTGTGAGACATCTTAGAGCCACTCCCGTGTTTCATGGGAAGGAGAACATGGTTCTTGTCTACATTCATCCAGTATGTTTTAAAAGAAACAAGCAATGGGCCAAAGGGCTCCAGAGATTTCGCCTGTGTCTCATGGCCCAAAATGGACCCAACAACGTTCACAAAGCTGAGAGTTACAGGTGCTGTGAGGAAAAACGCTGCAGAGCTGTGTCATCACCAGCCAAGCTAACAACAGCTGACAAGGGAGCAAGTGCAAATAAAAACATTATTATTTATCAATCAACCAAACTAAAGATACCTGTGAAAGACTATGTTCCTAAAAGGGCCACAGTGATGACATTCAGCAGTTCACCTACAGCGTAACAGTGCCACTGAGTCAGCTTTATAGGAACATATGTTAATGAATGCTATTACAGTCTCATGCAAAAGTTTAGGCACCCCTTGATAAATAACAAATTTTGGTGATTTTTTTTATTTGAACAGATGTTAACACAGTCTCTCTTGGAAATGGAAAAAATGCACAATATTTTCTGCAAACAGTGATGCATAGTTACTTCTTATGCCATAAATTGAACAAAAATAAAAAATAAAAACATTATTATGGCATGGTGCAAAAGTTTGGGCACCCTACACAATCAGTACTTAGTAACACCTCCTCTGGCAGATATCACAGCTTGCAAACACTTTTCATAGCCAGCTAAAAGTCTTTCAATTCTTGTACTTGGGATCTTCTCCCATTCTTCCTTGCAAAAGGCTTCTAGTTCTGTAATATTCTGTGGTCGTCTTGCATGCACAGCTCTTTTAAGATCTACCCACAAATTTCCAATGATGTTTAAATCAGGGGACTGTGATGGCCATTCCAAAACCTTCAGCCTGCGTCTCTTGAGGTATTCCATAGTGGATTTCGAGGTATGTTTAGGATCATGGTCCTGTTGTAGAAGCCATCCTCTTTTCAGCTTCAGCTTTTTTACAGATGGTGTGATGTTTGCTTCCAGAATTTGCTGGTATTTAGTGGAATCCATTCTTCCCTCCACCCGTGCAATGTTTCCTGTGCCACTGGCTGCAACACAACCCCAGAGCATGATAGATCCACCCCCATGCTTAATAGTTGGCAAGGTGTTCTTTTCATGAAATGCTGCTCCTTTTTTTCTCCAAACATGCCTTTGCTGATTGTGTCCAAAGAGTTCTATTTTAACTTCATCAGTCCACAGCACTTGTTTCCAAAACGCATCAGGCTTCTGTAGATGTCCTGTTGCATACTTCAGACGTTGGATTTTATGATGGGGACGCAGATAAGGTTTTCTTCTGCTGACTCTTCCATGAAGGCCTTGTCTGTGCAAGCATCGCTGCACAGTGGAACGGTGCACCACCACTCCTGAGTCTGCTAAATCTTCCTGCAGGTTTTTTGCAGTCAAATGGGGGTTTTGATTTGTCTTTCTGACCAGCATACGAGCAGTTCTGTCCGAGAGTTTTCTTGGTCTTCCAGATCTCATCTTGACCTCCACAGTTCCCCTGATCTGCCATCTCTTAATTACATTTCTTACTGTGGAAACTGCAAGCTGACAACGCTTTGCTATCTTCTTGTAGCCTTCTCCTGCATTGTGGGCATCAATAACTTTCATTTTCAGGGTCTTACACAGCTGCTTAGAGGAACCCATGGTTGCTGGGTGTCCGCAAGTGTGTGCACAAGGTTTGAAGAGTCAAAGTATTTGTACAGCTTTGAAATTGGCATTTACCAATGACAGCTGTTGCTGTGCATCAGATCTAACGAGCTGATTAAGGTCTGAAACCTTGTGAGAGACTTTGAGACTCTGGAACTCTTAGGGTGCCCAAAACTTTTGCACCATGCCATAATAATGTTTTTATTTTTTATTTTTGTTCAATTTATGGCATAAGAAGTAACTATGCATCACTGTTTGCTGAAAATATTGTGCATTTTTTCCATTTCCAAGAGAAACTATGTTAACATATTTTCAAATAAAAAATCACCAAAATCTGTTATTTATCAAGAGGGTGCCTAAACTTTTGCGTGAGACTGTATATCGCTCTGGGCCACATAATGATAACCAAGAGACTGCAATATGTATTTAGTATTTACGTGAGTAAAACACTAGTTGCAGGTAATAGAACTTACAGGCTGCTACTAGAACTATACCTCTGCCACAGCTCAGCAAGGAACTACTGTCCAGGGAAAACTGTCTGAAATAAACTGTAACTTTAAGAGGTACCGACTAGAACTGGCTTATTGGGACAGCTGAAGCTGCAGTTGGAGTGAGTTTTTGCACAGAACAAAAGCTGTGTATTTTGACGGTGAATCAAGTGGAAACATTCAGGGTCAGTGTGAATAGACCGATTCTTGAGTATCTAGGGACACATCAATATTGTTCTAACACCAATTTGAAAAGAATCCCTAACTATTCCTTTAAATGAGCAAAAGATAACCCTGTTTGTCCACTGATATGTAATCACCTGGGCTGATGCTGAAGTTGATGTCATTTCTCCTCATACAGGTGGCTGTGTCAGTGACGGCAGACATGTGGGAGTAGAGCTGCATGGCGCACAGCGGGTACTGAGGAGTACTGCCGTTCACAGCACGGTTATGATCCCAGTAGCACTGTGACCGGAGCAAAGCACACACATGTCTGGGTTTGTTTTTACATTCATAGAAACCACAATCACATTATAGTATTTTATCCATCCATTATCTATACTGCTTATTCCTGAATACGGTCACGGGGTGTATAGTGTTTTAGTGAATCTCAAATGGTTTTCAATTCTTAGAACAAGCTAGAACATATACACTTGGGTCTGGCTCCTTGCTCAGGGGCACACTGGCATGTCTGGGCATAGCAACGCTCTAACTACCATGTCCAGGACTATATTTATCACTCTGACACAGTAGCTGCTGTGGGAATCAAACCTGATACTGTTAAGTTTACAGAACAGTTTCCCCCATCTATGCTGCTATCTTATCAGACGCAGGTAGCCCATACAAATAAACTGCAACATCAATAGAACCTCTGGGCTAAGTCACCAAAAGGTCTCAGAAAACACAATGTTGCTAGTACAGAGCAATGTATATAGTTATTTATGTATTTAATTTTTCATTGGTTCTAATTTTTATTTATTGTTTTCATTGTTATATTCTATTCCCTGCTGCCTACGAACACACTGAGAACCTCTGTACCAGAGTCAAATTCCTTGTATGTTCAAACATACTTGGCCATTAAAGATGGTTCTGAGTTTTCTGCAAATAAATGCACAGTCTGCCATTATCAATGAGCTGAAACTGAAATGAAACCTGCTGTTAACTTGCCACGTCTCAGGCCTGTTGCAGGCGTCAGCTTTGCACGGCTTCACGATGAACGACATGGCATCTCTAACTGTGTTATAATAAGCACTGTTTTGTCATGTGTTGTTGCTCTGGATATTGCTGCTGCATTACTGTGCTAATGTTCTGCTGTTTCCTGCTGCTCTGCATGGCTCGTGCACCATCTTGAGAATGCTTTTTACTGCTGTGTTTGCCATGACTACCATCTGGAGGTTTTAACAATCATGTCACTGGTTTCAGAAAATCTTTCCAAAGAACTGCAGTTGAAAATTAACCAGCTGACTAACACTGGCAGCTTCACAGAAATGCTGATTAATGTGTATTGCCCTTATGCACAGATAAACGAAGCAAGATCTAAAAAAAAAAAAGTGAAAGTCACACATGGTGTTGAGCTCATAATCTCTGTGATAACTGTATTCTCTGGAAAAGAACTATATGCACACTTGTATTGCATCAGAAGAGCATTTCTAACACCTATGTAATATGATCTGTCTGTTTTTGCATATATAATAGTTTAAAAGCAGCTAATGATATGTGGATTCTTAGCACAACATGCCACAACATGCTCTGCATAAAGATGATCTTAAGTGCAGGTGGAACAGCTTTATTGGCATCAGTCCAAATCACAACTACCACTGAGACAAGTTTGAATCAGATTTGACTGCAGCTGTACTGTCTTTGAAAGCATTTAGATTCTCCAGCACCACAGGCAACTGAACAAGGTGACAATTAGATGGCCACAGAAGTGGACTGGCAACACAAAGCAGACTGGGAATTTGTTGTCAAGTTGCTACAGTTTCATTCATGAGATTGAAACAAGTTAATCTATCAACAAATCATCAATTTGCTTTGCTGGCTATCAAATATTATAGGATATGTCTTTGCCTTATAGGCAAAAAAGAAGTGATGAGTGTTGTAGAAGAAATATGTTTAAAATATGCTGAGAGAGAAATCAGCCCTTTCATTAAAGGGACAGGACAGATTTTCATGTTTATTTTACCCAGTTACAGTCAAACAAAATCTTTTTTTTTTTGCATTTTCTTACAGAAATGTTGGGTTAACTTCAATAGTATGACTTCTTTAAATGTTTTTGCACTGACTACACTCAACAGCTACTGAGCTAGGACTGATGAAGACAATGGTAGGTCAAGTAGCTCTACAATAATCAAACATAAAAGCTGTCAAGCTGTCAGCGACACAGCAGCTGCTCCCTGCTCACTTCTCTCTGATGGTCCTGCCTCATTGCTACTCTCCTCATCATCACATGGAGCAGCTGCTTAAATAGCTCCATTAACATTGCATACCTTGCAGCATCAGCCAGCAAAGCCTTTTTCTTTTTCTTCACCTCTGTGTGTGATTTTTCGCTTTCATTTGCTACCACATGCAACAAACTGCCTGGGTGCCAGATACTGTGTAGTTATGCTTCAGTTGCAACATCCCTCAGTGCACCAGTAGTGCTGCTGCAGCTAAAACACCCTACTGAATATCTGTATAGGCTGTATAATGTCTAAAGGTTCTGGGATTAAAAACAGGCCAGAGCACTGGGAAAATTCTCAAACGTCCTGATGGCCACTCAGTACCTGGATGGCCATTTTGTCCAGCAACAACAATGCATTTGAACAGAATCTAATCTGCTGTCACGTTTACCTGTCGTATGACCTGAGTGTCATTGTCGTCATTCAGAGAGAAGATGGGGAAGTCATACTCCTCATAGGATAAACCGTTTCCCAGAGGGTTCCACACTGTCTTATTACAATGGGCCAGGGCTGGATCATAGTTCTCTGAATAAACACCTGAGGGAAACACAAAAAAACCACATCAGTTGCACTAACACCCAAGCAGGGACTCATGAAGCGTGTGCTGCATCAGTAGGTTTCTTCAATGTCGTGTAAATAAACTGAAGCTAAAAAGTGTTTTCGTGTGTAGCTCCCTGATTTCTACTTATAAGATACATTCATTCATTTTCTACCGCTTAGGGTCACACCCTGGACAGGTCGCCAATCCATCGCAGGGCTAACACATAGACAAACAACCACACACACACACACACACACACTCCTATGGGCAATTCATAGGCAATTCAGTACCTGGATGGCCATTTTGTCCAGCAACAACAATGCATTTGAACAGAATCTAATCTGCTGTCACATTTACCTGTCGTATGACCTGAGTGTCATTGTTGTCATTCAGAGAGAAGATGGGGAAGTCATACTCCTCATAGGATAAACCGTATGACACCAATCAACCTAAGCTGCATGTCTTTTGACTGTGGGAGGAAGCCGGAATACCGGGAGAGAACCTATGTAAGCACGGGGAGAACATGCAAACTCCACACAGAAAGGCCTCAGGTCGACCGGGGCTCAAACCCGGAACCTTCTCGCTGTGAGGCAACCGTGCTAACCACTGTGCCACCGTGCTGCCCTTTATAAGATACATGAAAATTAAATTATCTATAGGATTAATATGCATCTACAGTGTCTATAAAAAGGCAGACACTGTTACTGCTACTTTATGTTTCTACTTCACAACATTACAGAGGAAAATCTTGTATTTTTTACTTCACCTCATTTATTTGACAGCTGGGGTTACTACAGCAGTAACTATTAAGATTTTATATAAAATACTTATGATAGGTTCATAAAACAAGTTATATTTTTAGCATGACACTGCCCAACAGGAGTTAAAATTAGCTCCAATTAGACCAGCTACATCATCACATGGCTGGTTACACATTAATGTCAGTAATATTCATATTATAATACAATGCATATTAATATATAAAAGAGAAGAGGAAATATTTGTATTCCTGATAGTAAAGCACTAACACTGCAGCTTGTGAGGTCTAAGTGTTTTGCCCTCTGAGGATGATAAAACTACAACTAATTTCTGTTCCTGGTGTAATACTGAGGGCTAAGTATTAAAATGTGAATCTCCACCCACCTGTGTTCTCGTTGGGACAGGTATTATGCGGAGAAAAGTCTGGAGGTGGGTTTGTGTTTATCGCCACAGCAGCAACACCTGCCACTCTGCCGGAGCTGTTCTTCAACTTCATCATGATGGATCTGATGAGCAGACAGTCGGCACAGGGCAGGGAAGATGATACAGGTACAAGTACAGGTAAGGCATGGGTGTGAAATGTGGTTCAAGTTTCTTTCCTCAGGGTTAGATAGCACATCTTGTGACAGTTTATGACTAGCTGAGATTTACTGCTATGTACTGCTGATGTTGTAACTTCCCTCCTATCTGCCAAGACTGAAAGCAGAATTATGTATCATTAAGAATGACTGTAGATGTTCCCTCTGTAGGGTGAGACATGTTAACTGTACCTGTTAAAGAGCGGGGGCTCCAGGATAACCATATAAGGGGGGTTGGGACCAGAGCGCAGGACCCAGTCCAGGTCGCCCTCTGACTCAAGCACATGGAGCACACCCACATTGCCTGACAAAGAGGCTGACAGCCAAAACAGGAAATTAAATACCAGCATCTGTGATACAAGGTGTAACACCTGTAATAGATTAAAAGTCCTTCAAGCTTGCCTCTTATTCACTACTCTGAAAGATCTAGCATGAAATGTGTTGATGACAAAATGGCTGTTGCTGTGGCTTCTGTAGTATTACAACAGTTTAAGCTACATTCTTGCAGCTTTTGATAATCAAGTATTTCATAGCAGAAAATGCCTGTTCTATCTGTAACTTGTGTGCTTCCATTGTTTTTCGAAAATAATTTTTAACTCTCAAATTCACAAGAATTGATTCACTTATTTCCAAACTTGAACTGCATGGAGCAACACTTCACAAAACTCACAAAACTCAAAAACACCAGCTTTAGTTGATTTTGTAGTAAGCCTTTTACTACAAAAGCCAAGAAAGTAAGACACTCACAGGACTTGAGGACACACACATGTCCAATATTCATCTTGGACACCCACGATAAATACTAATCAGTCATTTAATTTATCACTCTACTCACACTGGCAGCCTATTTGATGTGTTGCATTGAGCAGTCGCACACATGGAACAGTATAATTGAGGTGCACATAAATCTTCTTTTCCACTGAGTTACAGCTGACACCTGCAAGGGGAAAAAATTGCACAAGGAGAAAATTTTAACACTTCATTACAGCATATCTGTGCTGAAGCCAGCTTAATACAGAGGCAAAAGGCTAGGTGGATCACATTTGGATGTGAAACCTGAACTAAAACTCTGGTGTGGATACTATCTGTATAAACAGATGTTCCTCTTAGCAAGATATCTGATCTCTATCAATTCTGGGTTAATGGTTGTGTACCAGACCTCTGACATCCCCAAAAAAGAATGGAAAGTCTGACCACGCATTTCAAGTTTCACTAAGCTCATCAATTCATGAAATGCTTTAATGAAGATTCAATTTTGGCGCTGTTGTAATGCACCATGTTATACTGAAAGTGTTTCTATTATTTTGTCCACTCCATTTATATCAATGAGGCTATAACAAAAACTCCTTTCTGAATAACACCGTATGTTTCAACAGCAGCTTCCAAACTGATGGTACAGTTGAATCAACACCTCTCTAAAACATTATCACCATCATGGAGAATTTATTGCAGTACTGTTCTACAGTATTGCACTGGATTATTTTAAAATATACCTTGTTATTGTGTAATTTTAAATGTTAGCTATCTTGGTACACCGTATGAAATCATTTGTGCTCTTTTAGTGCCTTTGTGCACTAAAATCTTATCAACTGAGTTCAAAGAGCTCAGTGGTCTGATCCAGTTAAAACTTTCGGCTTGGTCCGCCTGTTGCTCCCACATCCTTCAGAGCAACAGCAGTAAAGTAAAATTAAAACCCATTTTCATTTAAACAAATTGATGCTTTGTTGACTCACTGCTGTGCCGAATTTACCAAGACACACTAAAAATTTTCACTTTACATTTGTTTCTCATGCTATGTGGGTTTAGTGAGAATCAAATTAAAACTAAATAACTAATTATATTTATATAATTTGGCATGTTGTTCCCTTGAGCTCCGGGCGGTGGCAGCGGGGAATCACGAGCCGTCACGCTGATGAGTTGCTCATACGAGGAGGGCAAACCCAATCTGTGACTACCTTAAATAAAAATTAACCTAAAAGATTTATTAAGAAAAGACAACTATTTCTGAACTAGTTATAGGTTGATGTAAATGTGCAAAGAGTTGTTGCAACACTAAAGCCCACTGTAAAACGTGTACTTAAAAAAAAACCGACAACAGAGATTAAAGGCTTTATAAGGCAGCTTGTGCTAACCCTGACTAGCCTAGCATAGCTCCGAGCACAAAGAAGTCCATCAAGATAACCCCGACAGAGAAACACACTCTGCCCGTTAACAAATACGTGTACACATAAATTCAGCACTTAGAATATCACTTACCGATGAAAAACCAACAAACTATCAAATTATTAATCCATCTGTTCGACAGAAAATCCATCTTCCTGGTTTGAAAAGCAGAAAAACACAACAGGAAGTGTGGACAGTAGAAACGTCCGGGTTCTGCACTTTGGTTCCGCTTCCCTGAAGGGGAACGAACTCTATTAAAACGCCACCTCTGGATCTCTGCGATGGAAGTAATCAATGTTTTAAACGTGTTTTTATAAATAGTTTCAGTTCTGATAAACTATTATGTACCCGTAATAACATTATCTCATCTTCATATTAACCGTTTTTACATGCTTGTAAGAATAAATCAAATCAAATCAAATGTCATTGTTCTTAATTAAAAGGGAGCAAAGTTATGCTAGTGAGTAACTTTACCTCCCTGCTGACTCAGGCCTGTGTACTTTATAACTATACCACCTATATATAGACAGACACACACGTCCACACACACACACACACTTTGTTTTGTAGTCAGTGGGGACTTTACATTGACTTGCATGCATTTCCTGTAGACTAACCCTAACCTTAACCAGAACCACTACTTGCATAACTCTAACCCTGACCCTTGCCCTTAACCTAACCTCAAACCATGTTGCCACCCTAAAATACAATTTCTTGCCCATGGGGACCTCAATTTAGGTCCACACCGTGAAATGGGTCCTCATGAGTTGGTTTGGAGTCAGAAAGAAGTCCCCACGTAGCAGGAAAAAAGCGTCCCCACACACACCCACACATACACACACACACACACACACACACAATAAAGGCATCTCACTTCAGTCTCATTCACTTACTCCAATGTATATAAAAACCCCATAAAAACACAATTTCTGTTCATAAACAAGTATTTTTATTTGCCACAAATACACAGAGCAGTGCTGCTCACTTTGAATTATTCACAAGTCAGAAAGAAGACAACAGTTTAAGGTTTAAATTCCAATACAGCCACAGCAGCAGTTACAACAAAAAGCTTTTTGCAGGATACCTGGTGCATGGAGTTAAATGGTTGATAAGATTAGAGGTTTAACATCACTGTGAGCAAACATACATGTTTATATGTGTCATTTCCCATGTCATTAACTTATTATTTAAGCATAGATGTGTTTTGCTGAACATCTCATCTTGACCTCTTAGCGGAACTGAAGTGGACTCACACGCAGGCCGATCACATCCTTACCAATCTCTGTCACCTGAAAAAAAAATGAAATTATAGGGGACTGATTACAGGTGACACTGAATAATATAACTTTTTTTTATTTCCTTCACTTTTTGCCTTTTACTGACAGTTGAGAGCATACACAAGACCGCCAGGAAACCCCAAACTAATCTTGATGATGAACCTAATTTCATCTATTAATAATACTTTATTGTACTACCAGCTGTATGTGTGTTTTCATCATCTGGTTTTCTTCTTTTTGCAACTGTGACTTTGTATAGAGAAACACTGGTCTCAATACTAGTGATAAATGCATGTTTAATGATCCACAAATTAAAACAAGATTTACAAATGTGTATGAGAATTTGTGAATAAACTATGGTGTCCGCAAATCTCTCTATCCAAAAACAAATTCTACCCAACCTGAATAAGTGTCAGTATTCTTAATGAGGTCATAGTTAAAAGCAGAGTTGTACTGCTCTACAATGCATTGTGAGGTGTGTCTAATCATATACACTGGAGTTCTCTATGGCTGTCCTGTGTCCCGACCTACCTGTGTGACCCTGCAAATCTGGCCTTTGTAAGTGGGACAGTAGCAGGCTCCAGAGAGAGGGCACTTCTCAACAGGGCGTCCACGGTACAAGGGGACGAAAGAGGCAGCGCACAGGTCAAATGGATTGTGGGGGTCATAGTTTAACTGCTGGGCATCTGTCAAGGTCTTTTCACAAGCTGCCAAAATCTTGCGGGTCTGATTGGCAGGGAGAGATTTAAGGGATGAGTAAAGGGCATAAGGAGTTTCAATAATAACTCCAGTCAATGAAACTATGGCTGTCACAGTACTAACCTGCTGTGCAACATCTGGCTTCGGTCCCAGCTCAAGCAGGCGGCGTGCAAAGCCGGCAGCCGTCTTGAAGTTACGCAGTTTGAAGAAAAGATTCAGGGCTGTGCGCAACACCAGCACCATGTGGACTGGCTGAAGATTACAGTGGGTGAAGTAAGCAGCCATCTGTAAATCAGATTCATCCCAGTTAATAACCACTGAATAGACTTAAACACAAATATTTTAGCAGGTTTTGGTTATGTTGGTCTGCTCCAGCTTTGACACCCAGTCAAGGCACAGCACAGATCTTTACCTCGCACAGCCTCTTCTGCTGTTCCAGTGTGTCTTTAGGCAACTTCTTCCTCTCTGACTCCATGGTCAGACCCACTATGTACTCTTTGCAAATTGTGATCAGCTGCTGAGCCTGAGACACACAAACCACAATTACAAAGGTGACCCATGCACATTTACTACAGTCAAATATTGTAATGGGTCTAGAAGTGTTCCTGCATCTGAACTGCTTTATTTTATTTGCAAGTTTTATGCTGTATGAGCTAAGACAGGCACTTTTGTTTGAAATTCAAACCTGTTTAAACATGGAGAAAACAAATTAAGCTCATACCCATATGGTACCATTAACATAGCATAAGAAATATGTTTGAATTAGATACATTTTTGCACCACTTTGAATTCTTTCAAACATGACGTTGGGAAAAAGTGACAGCTCTAGTATCAGAATCAGAATCTGCTTTATTGGCCAGGTGTGTAGGACACACGAGGAATTTGACTCTGGTACATCGGATCTCAATGTGCATGTACATATCCCCATGCAAGGGGCACGTAAACAGTAAACCAATATAAGGCTAGTATAACATAATAAGCAGTATTAACAGCAACAAACAGTGCAAACAATGCAAAAGCAGCAGTATAAACAGGCAGTAAAGAATGCAGACAAAGGAATGCTCATTGTGAAATGAGGATGAGCAGCCTGCAGACACATACAGGTGTACTGATCAGATTCAAAGCAGGCCTCATGCTCACCTCTGCGATCTCCTGCTTGTTATCAACCACAAGCAGAGGTACAGACAGCAGGATGGCTCTGAAGCGCTCAACAGCTTCCTCAAACCGCCCGGCAGTGGTCAGCTGGTAGCACTGCTGCAGGCTGGAGATGAGGTCGGAGAGGTGTAAGCCCACTGCAGGGAGCCCCTGCTTCGCCCCACAGTCCTAAAACAAGTAGAAATATATCAATTGTATATTTGCATATTTACATTCACAAGGAAAAAGGCGATTAGAAACAGGAAATTAGGACCTGAGGTGGGTAAAGTGGACATTGTTATTGCAAATAAAACTAAAGCAAACATCTCTAAACGTCCGATATCCTACAGAAAACTGGAAAATAATTAACAGATGAGCTGTACCTTCCAGTTCCTCTGAGGATGGCTACGCAGACAGGGCAGGGAAGGCAGCCCAAGGAAACAGGTGCGCCCTCTAGACAGCGTCTGCATGAACAGCGACTTGTAGGGGCCAAAGTTCACAACTCCCACTTGGTCATGGAGCAGCTGTTGTAAAGAAAGAGAACAGTAAATGTCAATATGATGTGTGAATTAACATAACACTGTCATCCATAAGAAATAATATCACACTGTGTACATACTCGCATGGCAGTCTCAAAGGAGCCAGCCAGGATGTGATCCACTGGCAGCTGCGAGTTGTTGCACCACATCTGGGTCGGACTCATCCCCTTGGTTGGTGGAACAAAGAAGCCATCCTCCGCTCCTCCAGCCGCACCAGTCGGCGTGTCCTGTTGATTGGGAGAAAGGCTTAGCTGCAGCTGAGCACAACTATCTACAGTGATGAGAAGATTTGGGAGCTCACAGGCTTCTTTCATTTGACGTTTGATAATGCTGACAAAACGCAGACTCAAAAAGACCTCATGAGTATCAGTATTTGTCTTGTGACCAGCATTAACACTGCTGTATTGGTGATGAAATAATTTAGGGTTTCTCACCAGCTCTGGAGGAAGGTCCAGGTCTTCCTCCACTTCCCAGCCTCCTCCCTCCTCTTTCGCCATTCCTTCATCTCCTAAACCTTCCTGAGCATCCATGAAGCCATCTGAGACACAGACAGGAAAGGTAGTTAACTTGTATATGGTTGCAGTATTGATGACATGCCCCAATTTTCACTGACAGGTCTAAAGTACTTTTTTTTTGTTAGTTTACCTTCATCAAGCTGAAGCTCAGCATCATCTCCCCAGCCTTCACCTCCAGAAGCATCCATGTCCAGGTCGGCAGCCATCTGGCCTGCCTTCCCTATAAAAACATTGTTCTCATTATGGCAAAGTCAAATGCCAAAGGTTTTCACAACATTTACAAGTTATTTCACTTTATTTTTAACACTGCACACTGATGCACATTAGGAGAGCATTTAACTGAAAAATGTTTGAATTACTCCTCTTTAGCAGTTTTGCAGATTTTTTTTTAGTGCAATTTTGCATGCTTTTTGCATGCCGTGTCTCCTGTACAGTACAGAAATTAAATTTGTTAGTTCTAAAATCCATCATTATTATTTATAGGAAAATGTTTATACAGTTTTTTTATTTATTTATATTTATTATTTTTCTACGAAGGTTTGAACTTTGAGAGTGTTTAAACAAGAGAGAAAAGTGTGAAAATGTTAATGCCTGTCTGAGAAAAGTGTATAAAGTGTGTAGTGAGGGGTTTTACAGCCTTAAAACATCTATAATAATTGTTAAAAATAAAGCTGACTACTTCGTGGATTTCGCCTATTGCGGGTTTTTTTAGAACGTAACTCCCGCGATTAACGAGGGACCACTGTACATATGGCATATTGTATGTATATATGCATCTGTCATATGTCAAGGCTGATAACTCACCCTTTGCTGCAATGACTCCCTCAAAGAAGCCCTTTGATACAGTGAGCAGAGGCCAGTTGGTGTCCAGTGGGTTGATGGGTGGAGGGGGCTGCAGCAGCTGTGCATTGGGATCAACCTCTGGCACCTATATGACAAGATGAGTGATTTTATTGTCAAAGCAGTGGTGTCAAAATGCTTTGCTACCCTGGAAACAGCTTAGTGAGTGTAACACTTCTGTTTCATTCTACATATTATGTCCAAGTTATGTGTATAAAGATAATCCTTCTTCCTACA